AAAACATATATCTATATGAAATATGATATATTTGTAAGTATATTCTCTGAAAATGTGTCCTCTAAAGATATTAAAATTAATTGTCACCTAACCTCGTCTCATTTTGATCAATCTACCCCACATAGCCATTTTTAATAAAAGAGATTGTATTCACAAATTTAGAATAATGATTACTTAATTGTAGCAAAGATCTTCTAAGATATGTCATTTTCTATGAATACAGAGATATTATGATTAATAATGCCAAAGACTTGTTAGACAACAAAATAGGTGATTATAAAAATTTACTCACCAACTTCATTTTCTCAAAAATTGCTATATATAATATATACAATGCTTGTGGTGCAGTCAAAAAAAGAGATTTTTCTGCCGTGTCTTGTTTAGTTATAAGCATTTTGACAATCAACCCCGTACGACAATCAGCCCCGGTCTCCCCTATTTGTTTCCTATTATCAATGTAATAGTTTGTTACTAATTATTTAAATAATATACAATTGTTAGTCTACATTATTTAAAAAAAGGAGATACAATTTGAAAAGATATATTATTAATAAAAGCAAATATGCTTCTCTTCAAAGATATTAATAAATAAAAAAATAAATAAATAAAAAATTTTATCTATTACACTTTTGGAGTTTCTATGTTACTTTTCGTAAAAGAGTTTATTATGTCTTTTAGAGATAAATCTATAAGTCAATAAATAATAATTCCAATTTATATATTTTTCAGCGCGATATAATTTACATGTAAAAATATTTGAAATCATGCAGCATTAAATTCTCAAAGAAGCATTTCTGAAGGTATATTTACCTTTTTCTTTTTTAAATTAAAGTTGAGTTTCTCGCTCGATTACAAACTATAGTATCTCTTCGATCGCATCCTACGTTTACAACAGCAGTTGTTATTCTATGTATGACAAACAGTTGTTATTCTATCACGTCTTAACGTCGAGACAGGTAGAGAGATGTGACGTCGAGAATCACCTTGTTCGTGTCGTTACGATACGTCACATTTCACGTGTCGCGTGAGTATCTCGCTCGAGTATGTACATCGATCGGCGTCCGACCGCGATCAAACGGCTCGCATTGCGAGCGAGTAGCGGGATAATTAGCTGGAGTACGCCGCTTCTTTGTCTCGGCACGATTGCGTGTCGACGTTGCCCCACCGCGTCGTACACACGTCGAGAATATCGAGGATCACTCCCGACTGTACCGGGGAACCCCCCGCGCTCCATTGACTTCGTTCGCCGAAGGACGCTTTATCTCCGGCCCACATACCCGGCACCTCTTCTGCCACGCGACCTCCATTCAGTCCGGCGTAAATACAAAGGGCGCCGGCACCCCCGAGCTCGATTGCACTCCCCCGAGAGGGAGACAGAGACCGGCTGAGAAAAATCCCTTTGACACTTTGACACCTGCCACGAATCGATTTCACCGTCTCTTGAATAATTACACGGACGATAATAAAATTAGCATAACTGCAGCGATGAGAATTTCGTAAAATTGGATCCGTCCTATTTTTGTTTTATTTAAAATATAATTTATTAAAAGAGATAAAAGGTATATATCTCTCGGAGATAGTTGATAGAAAGAGGGGAAGAAATAGGGAATAATGCGTGGCGCGATTTTTTTTTCTGTTTGCAAATGTCAAACTGGACAAACTTCGGATAAATATTGCGGGTCGAGAAATATCGCGGGAAAATCAAGGTGGTGGAAATTACGGGCACTTCGCGAGGCAGTTGGTCAGGCACGGGAGCCGCAAGGCCGTATATTTTTAACCTGAGAACCTTCCGGCAACCCTGCCGCGGGATCAATACCTACAACCACCCTCGTCTCGCCGTTATGTACTACCGCTGGAAATGGAGACCGCCGCTAACTTTAACCTACATATCCGCCACCTCTGGCTGAGAGCCCACCGGTGGAAACTTGCCACCGAGTCAAGTACAGGAAGAGGCCGGGGGAGAAAAAATGCGGGTATACGCGATGCAGATGCGCCGAGTAAAACCGTCCGCGAGAAACGAGCCGCGGGGCCACGAGTGCAACGAAATGTTTCTCGATAAGAAAGTTGGAAAACCCATTTCCGCTATCTTGCCCCGTTGAAATATCTCATTGCGATTCATGCACCGTTGCGCGTAAAACGCAAATTACCTCTCCATCCCTGTAACATTTATATACTAAACGCAAGTCATATTTTCCATTAAATAATTATATTTGACTTATCTCAAGCTGGTAAAATATTGAAAGTATCTTTTAGTATTTCATCCATGATAAAAGTACTATGCACTTAAGTAATTGGCTACAATTTATCTCCAGGGGAAAAAAATGTCTAATGTTTGTTAAATTTCGAATCATTAAATTTTTCTGAAAATGAATAATAATCGCAAAATGTATTATATTACATACAATTATACGCTTTAAGAAATAAAATCCATGTAAAAGGTGGAAGAAGTCGGTAAAAGCAAGTATCACATCTCAACCCTCGCATCTTTGGAGGGTCACCGGCCCGAAAGTCGTGAAAACTTTTTTGTAGAGTTTTCGTCTATTCTCTTCCTCTTTCTCTTCCTCCCTATCTCGGATCGAGCTCCATTTTCCCCCGCGGCGTCGTCGTCGTAAAGGGTTGGATGGAGGATAGAAGCCAAAAGAAGACGGGCAATCGAGTTCCGAGATTCTCAGCTCGAGGTCGCCGGATATACCAGGCGCTCGTGAAGGAGCCCTTGATAGACGCCGGAGAATCTCTATTTACGAGAAAAGAAAGGAGAGAGAGAGAGAGAGAGAGAGAGAGAGAGAGAGAGAGAGAGAGAAGAGTAAGGGGATGAGAGACATCGAGGAAAGAACACCTTTCGCTCTCGGTGCCATTCAGAGAAAGAGCGACTTCCGCAATTGCGGCGGCGGCTCGCGAATGGCGGGATAGTCGTCTGCGCAATCTCGTCGCTTCTAAGAGCAATCCCTTTTATCACCTCTCATCCCGTTTCTTCTCCTTCGTTTACGCTACAAGACTGTTTGCGGACGTGGGCATTTTTATACGACCAACGCCGTATGACGCGCGCGTCGCTTTCGCGGCGTGCATAATTTACGCGATGAACACTTGGCGACGCGCATAAACAGCCTCGAATATAAAAGAACGTGACGGAACGTAAAAGAATAACGGAATTGCGAAAGCTTGATTTGGGATCGTCAACGGTGGCGAAAATAAAGATAAAATGGATGTATAAAACTTGATGGTCTACGTGAACGTTGTGTATTTGCTAATCTCTGTAAGTCGGATTATAAGAAAACAAGTGCAGTTCGACAAAGCAGTTCGTGTAACGAATCGACTTTAGAATCGACTTTTAATTAATTGCAATTATATGAGAGTTCTTCGATCTTTATGCAGGCGTTCTTTAACTTAGATCGTTTTTCACATGGCGTAACACATTAGATGCTTCGCAAAATAAACATTTTGCGTTATTATTCCATTTCTTATTTACAATATGAATCTCTAATATCCCCACTAAATACATGTAATTTTAAACGGTTAAATCCACACACATGAGATGGATTGAGTTACGTACGATAATAAAGAGACTTAGTTCCTCGTTAAACTACTCTCATTAGCTGCGTAATTTCTACACTTTGATCCAGTAAAGAATTAAAAGCAAGAACCAATATTAAAGAGTCACTGAGCGCTCATTGATTAATTTTCTTTGCTGAACGCAGCCAATGAGAGTAATTCTCGTAATCGGTCTTTTGTCGATAATCACGAGTCTTTAGAGGCATTATCCCTTATGGACATTTCTCAGTATGAGGAAAATGGCGGTAGGGAACGATTCGGCCGGCTCTGTTTCGGTTCCCTGAGCGTGCGAGGTCGAGAAACAGCGGAGCGAGTAACCGGAAGCCACGTTCCATTTCAATGCGCGAGCCTTACTCATGAAAGGAACCGATAACGCTTGTCGACCAAGAGTCGGCCGAGGCGAGCCCTTTTCTAGGATAGTCGAGCGAGTGCTTACGACGCGATTTCGCACTTCTCTCTATGGTATGCCCGCTAGGAACAACGAATACCTCGATCTTTGCACATAATTCGAGAGAAGGAGAGGAGCACGACCTATTGTCGGTCTCTGATAATGCGTACGAACAAGCGCTGCTCCACGCGATAATATTCCCATTCGGCATTCGACAAACTTCGCTATTCATTTGCGAATCGGAGAGGGCCGTAATTAAGATTCGCAGGAATAGAATAGACATTTCGAAGTACGTTTGCGATTGAATCGAAATTGTATGGAATTTGTCGACTATCACGTCGCTGTGATAGGAATGTCTACGAGAGAATGCAGATATATATATATATCTTAAATTTTTATCAAAATAAACTTATAGTTAAGTAAAGAAGACTCTTGAGGAATCCTGTATTCAGAAATTTTATCTGGATGCACTCATCATTTTACCTTTTAACATTTGAGGAACTATAAGGATGAAGCGCACCCTGAAATTTCTGAACACAGCCTTGAAGATATGACCAATATACGGAACATTTCTGATATAGTCTCTCTATTTGTGAATGTTACAGATCTTCGACACTCACGATTTGTGACTCACAAGACGGTAGTCTGCGCGCACTGAAAAATCGACCGTCGGGTCGTGGAGCGTCGGCAGTATCCGACAGTTTCGTTAGCCAGGCGTGTATCACCATCCAGAACAATCCCTCGCCCGTGGCAAGACGGCCGATCGTGCGGACGTCCTCGGTGTTATCCCAGCGCGGCCGCTACGTGCGACGACAACAGCCCAAAGATTCTCCCACCGAAGGCCAAGATGCACATCGAGGTGCAGGTGGCGCTTAACTTCGTGATATCATATCTCTACAATAAACTGCCGCGTAGACGAGTCAACATCTTCGGCGAAGAGCTCGAGAAGGCGCTCAAGGACAAGTTCAAAGGCCACTGGTATCCGGAGAAGCCGTTCAAGGGCTCGGCGTTCAGGTGCCTCAAGACCGGTGATCCGGTCGACCCGGTGCTAGAGCGCGCCGCGAAAGAGAGCGGTGTGCCGATCCAGGACATCCTGGAAAATCTGCCAGCCGAGCTCGCCGTCTGGGTTGATCCCGGTGAAGTGAGCTACCGTATCGGCGAGCTGAACGCCGTGAAGATTCTCTACTCGGAGACCGGCGACCCGCATGACGAGACCTCGGCCGATCGCGAGGTCACCAAGACCTTCAATCCGGAGGCGCAGTGCTTCAGGCCGATCGAAGCTGTAAGCACGTCCTTGAGCGGTCTCAGCCTCAGTCCGAAATCAACCTCGCCGTTTTCGAGCTCTCTCGGCAGCAACGCTAGCAATGGCTCGTCCAACAACCAGCAGAACGGTCACGGATCTGGTTCCTCGTCTGCACCCTCACCCACGCCCATCACCAGCTCCTTCAAGGGCTCGCCCAGCCCCGTACCGGCCTTCATCCCGCGTACCACCGCCCCGCTCACCTTTACCACCGCTACCTTCGCCCAGACCAAATTCGGCAGCACCAAGCTCAAAACTAGCAGCAAACGCGCCAACAGGTTGGTACATTCGTTTGATGTTTCCTCCCGCTTTGGATTAGTCAAATCGAATTCAATTTATGGCTTGAAACTTGAAAGGTTGAAACTTTAAAGTAATGATCGCTTGTCTCAACTTTTTTTTACTGTCACCGTAGAAATTAAATTTATTTATTTGATGTTTAAAGATGGATAATTTTGATACCTGTGGAAAAATTGATCGTGAATATAAATAAACCTTAATTTTCCCAATTATATGATGATTATCTTGAGTTTGTTCGACGAAGATTTTATAACAAAAATAATTATTTCTTTCCTGAATGATATAATTATTGCGATAAAGATTTGTAGTAGGCAATACAGTTGAATTTTGTTGTTACTCGAGGAGTGTTACATTGAAAGAACAACAATATATGAGTTACATGTATTTACAATTTTTTTACGAATACATTGTAATTACAAATTACACAGTTTATTCAAAAACATTGCAAGAAAGTAATTGTTTTTAAACTGATTGTTAACGTCTTTCGACATTACACTTCTCGAGTTTCTTAAGTAGATAACACAATTTGTATGTGTATAATATATTCGTGGAATGCTGCTTGCAATTTTCCCAGGTATATCTTTACGTATTTACCATCACTAGAAACTAACGTTACAGTTCCCGCGGTATAAAAAAACAAATTGAACAGTGGGATCGCCATTAGATGGATAGTTGATTGCTTCGCAACCAGATAATCGTAGAAATAGCTAAGCATGCTTGAAATTAGAGAGTAACGAAACGTGCGATCTATCGTAGAAGATCGTACATTGCCGATAGAATTTAATTATAGCGCGCGCGTTATTCCGTTTACGAAACACACACAAGCACGACAGAACAAAACGCGCGTACTAACCAGGCCGCGAGACGATCTACCATTCCCGGATCCACGCAAACACGTGCATACACAGATCCATTGATGAACCGCACGGTACCGCTCGGTTTCAGGATGTCACCCACTGAGTTCTCGAACTATATAAAGCAGCGCGCAGCGATGCAGCAGCAGATTCACCATCATCACCATCATCAGCAACAGCAGCATCAGTCGCAGCAGCAGCAGCAGCAGCAGTCGCAGCAGCAGCAGCAGCAGCAGTCGCAGCAGCAGCAGCAGCAGCAGTCGCAGCAGCAGCAGCAGCAGCAGTCGCAGCAGCAGCAGCAGCAGCAGTCGCAGCAGCAGCAGCAGCAGCAGTCGCAGCAGCAGCAGCAGCAGCAACAGGCGACCGCGGTTGGTGCAGGATTGCCGGTCTCCCAGAGCTCGCCGCGCAGTCGTAGCCTATCGCCCGGTAGCATAGTCGCCGGCGCTGGACAACAACATACGGACCCGAGTGCGTACTTCTTCCAACATGGCCCAGCCGCGGCCGCGGCGGCGTACCACGCGCAGTTCCCCCATCGCAACATCTTCGACTCGTCGGCGAGCCACGGTGGTTACCTGCCGGCTGATCTCTACGCCGGCACCAAATTCCCATCATCGTACCTCGACCCGACCACCTTGGCTGGCCATCAGTTCTACGGCGGCGGCATGAATGGCACTGGCGCCGGTACTGGCGGCGCTGTAAACGGCACCACCGGCGCTGGAGCCGGTACCCAGGGCGCCGGTAGCGCCGGCACCGGTAATCTTGGTCCAATCGGCTCTGCGACAACCAACGGCAACGTCAACGCTGGCGCGGCCGCCGCGGCGCAGCAGCAGGACAAGAGTGCCCTGGTCGAGGGCCTCAACAACTTCGGCCTCGGCTCGGTCGCGCCCTATCCGGCCAGCCAATATCAGCACTTGCTTGTGGCCAACTAATACCTCGCGCGTGCACATCAAATCGTCAACAAAACCGCCACTGCGTCTCGTGGCGGCGGTAACAGCGTTTTCGTTTTCGGTGCCGCTGGTCCGGTGACGGACAAAAAGGAGAGAAGGCCGTCGCCTCCGAGACTCCGTTATCGAAACGTTGTCCAGAGTCCGGCTTCTTAAAGACGGATGTCCATCAGCCGAGTCAGTACCAACTCTATCTCTCCTCCCCTAATCAGAATACACTGGTTATGGTTCACGATACCAACTTGTCCTCTCCCGCGATTCCTATTCATACGCTTCTCAGAACGCTCTTTCGTTCGATCTTTCCTAATCCAAGAAGAATCCGAGATATTCTGTACATACATTATTGATAGTTATCGATGAATGGAGGAGAGATAGAGGATAAGCAGAGAAAGAAAGAGAAAGACAGCCGCCGAACGATCAGCACCGACGACGAAAGCGATCGAGATGAGGAAAGAAGGCGCGATAGAACGGAAATAAAGAAAAAGAGAGAGAGAGAGAGAGAAAGAAAGAGATGTGTATGCGTGTGGAGATGATGCCTGGTTCTGAGGTACGTCTGATTGCGAGATAACGTGTGCGTGCAGAAACGTTTTAGGCATGGAGGAGAGAAGAGGAGACGGAAGGAAGCGGCTAACGGCTAACGAGAGCGTGTATATGTGTTAAAACCCGATAAGGACTCGATTGGCGATGGCGCGAGACGCTCGTTCGAGACGGAAGCCATCGTGTGGCTACCTACGATACACACATACATACACAACACACATAAACGCGCTCAAAAGTATACGGCATGCGTGTAGCGCATCGGCGGATATTCGAACGACGCGTCGAGCGCTCATCTAGGACAGTAAAGATACACTCGACACATTATAGGAATAACACACACACACACAACACACAGATATACATATTATACCGATCTTCCCGTATATACATCCCGTATAACATACAATACGAATCCACGCGGGCACACGTAGACCTTTCACATACATAACATACGAGCATCATCCATGCACGAGACACACGTACGTATTAACGAAACAAAAAAAAAGAAAAAGAGGAAAACCATATGTACGCGACACTGACCCACACAGATATTACCAACGTGTAATAATTTATTTTTTCACTGGTATATAGTCGGAGAATTAAATAATGAATATATATCTCTGTAGAGCCTATGTATTATATTCAAGATGCACTCACTCTTCACCGGGTTCTCGCGAAACGGTAGGAACTACACACTTGTCCCCTAACTCGTGTCGAGCGAGCCGTCGGTGTCGAAAGATCCGTGGACCGATAAAAGATCGATAATGTAAGGTGTCTTCCAAACTTTTTTCTCCATCGATCGAGCGCCGATACGAGGCGACGCGCGGCGTCGCGTCGCTTCGTTTCGTTTCGTGCGAGATTCGTAGCCAGATATTACAGTCATTACAGACAACGCGGAAAAAGCTATTCAGGCACTAAATACGTAAAGTACAGAAGCTCTTTAAAAGTACGAGCTGAAAATCGGATCGCGGATAGCTTTCCCTGCACGGAGGACCTTTACGTCGAATCGAGAGATGGAAAGCAAAACTGGAGAATCTACGGAAGACGGCCCGTTCATTCGCACGAGATGAGTAAATAAAATGAGAAAGAACAACGCGATCAAGGAACGAAGGATCGATCCTTCCGCGAGTATAGTGATAATGTAGAGAAAAAGAGAAACGAGCTCGCAGTTTTATACCGTTCGGAAAACTCGTCCTCGGTACGATTTTACATTTTATTTTTATAATAAATGCAGTAGAATGTAGGAGAAAAAGAGAGCGAGAGAGAGAGAGAGAGAGAGAGAGAGAGAGAGAGAGAGAAAGTGAGAAAGAGAGAGTGAGAAAGGGAGAGAGAGTGCAGCGAGTGATGTGCAAGGAAAGGAAGAGGAGAAGTAGAAGACGAGATAGAAAAAGAGCCAGCCGGTGTGTTCGTGAAGAACGTAAGTGGCCTCGTTGCACAGGCCCCTCGATATTTGCTCGGCTGCGCCTGCAAGTTGTGGTCCCCGCCCGCCCGTCCGCTGCAGAAAAACCATCGGGAATCGATTTCCTTTCGAGATATTGCCTTTCGATTTGACATCCGGAGTCGATGACCCTCCGAGCTGTCGGGGGAACCTCTTCGAATCGTTAAACCTCGGCAATGCGCTTCCTCGCCGCTATGCGTTTAAACTTTGAACCCGGAAATTCTTTCTAATTATTTTCCGATTGCGCCGTAGGCACTGCTCGCGAATCATTTATAAACAAGTACAAGTCTAACCAGTTGATAAGATCTTCGTCGATTAATTAAGATAGATTACGTTGAATGTGAGAACACTGATTAGAATAATTAGGGACTTAACGATGATTTGTAGCGTAATCAATCCCTTAGTATCTTTTTTTTTTTTTCAATCAAGCTGAATCGTCCGCAGAGCTTTACGATGTTAAGAAAAAGAGACTAGTACAAAGATAATGAGAGTCAATCAGAAGCAGGATGAACGGCGGGCGGGATAGTTCCGGGGCAGCAACGTCGTCGCTTAGCGTTCACGGGGTTAATTAGGTGATTACGTAATTAAAAGGCCGCGCGTTATTGTCCTTGTCGGCGAGGCGACTCGTCCGGTTGCAAAAATCAACCTTAATTTCATTGATTAAAACAAGAATTAAATTTTTACGAAGCTATCTTATCTTCCGGAGTTTAAAACGAATATACTTTAATAATTTTCTAAGAGACTTGCTTTTACGATTTAACTTTAGTCGGCGCGATCGACCTAAACTGTAGAATGTCCATCATAAAATGCAAGCTTCGCTTCGTAATACTACTATAAACTGTTAGTATAAAGCAAATGATTATAACGCTTTACAACGAAAATTCCACTTTCGTCAGTCAAGAACTGTCTTCCTTTTTCAAAAATTGCCTACAAAAGAAGACGATTATGGATCGCGTTTTAAAATGAACATACTCCGTATATTCCATCTGTATTGCAGCCTTAAGATCGTTCTGATTAGTCTCTGAATATTAGCTACGCGCGAATATTGTTCCGGCTTCCTGTACTTAAATTATTTCGATAATATGACTTGTAATTTCCGAGATAATAATCACGTCAATCCTCGAGAGTAATGTTTGTGTAAACGAGGCACGAAATTTGATATTGAAAATTTCACTAAATATTTAATTAACTGTTATTACCTCGCGATAAATCTTCCGTCTTATCGATAGAAACCTGTATTTGATCTCCGTAAATTGAACGGTGGCGG